CAAGCATGTTTTTCAAAACGGTGACCGTTTGCAGTAAAAAATTAGCTGCACATTTCGCGTAGTTAATCTTTCTTTAACCGGAAAAGTGAAACGAATTCAATATTGTTATTTAACATGAAAACACCTGCGTCGACTTTGGATCTCATAACTGGTCAATTGAATGTTCTTGATTGGTCAATCCAAGTGACGCAGATTAAAGCTTCGCTTTAACACTCGCAATTAAAGCGAACAATTTTATTCGAGTGTATCATTACACGCGAACGAAACGATTAAATTTATTACAATTTTATCAGACAGCTTTAGTACTTCCAAATTGCAAGCGCGTTTTTATTTCAATTTCGTACAGTAAAATGTGCTCTCATTTGATCGCATTTTATTTCTATAAAAATTCTCTCTTTCCTTACAAATAAACTTGTTTGGTCTTGTGAAATTCACTCGTAGATACTATGTTAATAATACATCATTAACACTAGAACAAATGTATACATTAACACCGTAACATATACAATGACTAAATTATATATACAATCATAACGATGACAAGATTGAATTCATTTGAACTTCCTATGATTTTTACTGTACAATACTCTTACGTGTCAAATATAAAATTTTATATAAAATTTCCCGATGTAATACATTTTGATAGAACCAGTAACTGTGAATGAAAAAATCGAAAACCGTTTATTTTTAGTGGTTTTGGAATTTCTAGTGTTAAAGACATTAAAATTACAAAGGTTCTTTTATTGGAAATCATTTAATGAATTTACCTTAAAGGATATATGATTTATTGTGAAAATGGAAAAATGAAATAAAAAAAATTTGAGGCGTTTCGTCCCGGACCCGCTAGCGGACTCATCAGTAAGGCTATCCTAGCGGGTCCTGCCTTAGACGCGAGTTTAATGGACAATGCAATTTTAATGTGGTCGACTCTAAACAGTGTAGGAAACAGATGGGAAGCAACCGGAATTGCTTGGCCAACTCTCGATGTGGAATAGTCGCTTTCCTTTCGACTATTCCTTTACTTGAGTTGTAGATGCTGTCGCTAGTATGACCCTTACTGTCTTATTAAGTATTCTTAATCTAGAATTATATATTATATTTACAAACACTATTATATGCTATTGATTACGCTAGGAGTACTTTTCGATGGAATGTATGATTTGAGATCGGTCGTCCGTCGATCTGTTGCGATAGGTTGCTGTGCGAACAACCTAAGTATCTGCGACAGATGACGGCGCTGGTTATACTAGGAACGGGACTACATCGTCCCAACTATCGCAATCTAACACCTATCTTCCTGCACGATGAGATTCGACCGCGGATGTTTGCTAGCTCCTAAAGGGTTACCCTAATCACCTGGAATTGGTTGAAGAATGCACGTCATCGGATAGACCGATCTGGACGGCAAAGCGGTGAGGGAACCGTGGCAGGGAGATGGAAGGGGGAGCGTTTCGTCCAGACCCCGCTAGAGGACTCCTCAGTAAGGCTATCTAGCGTGGCCCTGCCTTAGACGCGGGGTTGAGGGATGGTAGAATTCGCGGTGTATATATACAAACAAAAGACGTTTGAGTTCTTGCGAGAAACAAATCCCTCTAGCGTCAAGTGACGGCGATATCAATTGCAGGGATTGTGTATTCAACTGTGAATATTTCAAAAAGTCAATTCTTTTTTTTAAATTTTGACTAATTCTCTTATTTTACGCGAGAGAACGTTTACGTACTTTTGACAGAAATACACCTACCATTCCTTACGCTGGAATTAGTAGGATGCGTCGGATTCAGAATCCTGAAACAGCCTCTTAAAGTAGAGGTTCCGAGCTTTAATTTGATGAAAAAATTATCACCCTATGATGATGCTTCGTGGAGTTATCGTCGTTCAAATTTGGCCAATTCTTCAGAGATTTTACTATTCGCGAATTATGGGCCTTGTTGCAATAGTAGTAGGATGCGTCGAATTCGTAATCCACAAACAGCCTCTTAAAGTAGAGGTTCCGAGCTTTAATTTGA